GTATGTACATTTCACTATATGTATGTACATCCCACTCTATATGTATGTACATCTCACTCTATATGTATGTACATTTCACTATATATTTATGTACATTTCACTATATGTATGTACATCCCACTCCATATGTATGTTCATCTCACTCTATATGTATGTACATTTCACTCTATATGTATGTACATTTCCATCTATATGTATGTACATCTCTCATTATATGTATGTACATCTCACTCTATATGTATGTACATTTCACTATATATGTATGTACATTTCACTATATGTATGTACATTCCACTCTATATGTATGTACATCTCACTCTATATGTATGACTATTGTACATTTCACAAGACATGTACATTTCACTTTATATGTGTGTACATTTCACTCTATAAGTATGTACATTTCACTCTATATGTATAAACATCTCACTCTATATGTATGTACATTTCCATCTATATGTATGTACAAATCACTCTATATGTATGACTATTGTACATTTCACAAGACATTTACATTTCACTTTATATGTGTGTACATTTCACTCTATAAGTATGTACATTTCACTCTATATGTATAAACATCTCACTCTATATGTATGTACATTTCACTCTATATGTATGTACATCTCACTCTATAAGTATGTACATTTCACTCTATATGTATGTACATTTCACTATATGTATGTACATTTCACTATATGTTTGTACATTTCCATCTATATGTATGTACAAATCACTCTATATGTATGACTATTGTACATTTCACAAGACATTTACATTTCACTTTATATGTGTGTACATTTCACTCTATAAGTATGTACATTTCACTCTATATGTATAAACATCTCACTCTATATGTATGTACATTTCCATCTATATGTATGTACAAATCACTCTATATGTATGACTATTGTACATTTCACAAGACATTTACATTTCACTTTATATGTGTGTACATTTCACTCTATAAGTATGTACATTTCACTCTATATGTATAAACATCTCACTCTATATGTATGTACATTTCACTCTTTAAGTATGACATTGTACATTTCACTCTATAAGTATGAAATTGTACATTTCACTCTATATGTATGTACATGTACATTTCACAAGGTATGTACATTTCACTCTATATCTATGTACATTTCAATCTATATGTATGTACATTTCACTCTATATGTATGTACATTTCCATCTATATGTATGTACATTTCAATCTATATGTATGTGCATTTCACTCTATATGTATGTACATTTCACTCTATATGTATGTACATTGCCATCTATATGTATGTACATTTCAATCTATATGTATGTGCATTTCAATCTATATGTATGTACATTTCACTCAATATGTATGTACATTTCCATCTATATGTATGAACATTTCAATCTATATGTATGTGCATCGCTCTCTATCTGTATGTACATTTCACACTGTATGTACATTTCATTCATTTTGCATGTAAATTTCGCTATACGTGTATATGTATGTACATTTAAATCTGTATGTAAGTACATTGCACAAGCTATGTACATTTCACTCTATATGTATGAACATTTCACTCTATATGTATCTAGATTTCACTCTATATGTACATTTCACAAGATATGTATGTACATGTCACTCTATATGTATGTTCATCTCACTCTATATGTATGTACATCTCACTCTATATGTATGTACATCTCACTCTATCTGTATGACTTTGTACATTTCATACTGTATGTACATTTCATTCATTGTGCATGTAAATTTCGATATACGTGTATATGTATGTACATTTAAATCTGTATGTAAGTACATTGCACAAGCTATGTACATTTCACTCTATATGTATGAACATTTCACTCTATATGTATCTAGATTTCACTCTTCTGCCCTATAATGCAACACTGTGTCTGATGTGCTATGCCAGTCCCCAACCGTTATAGAGACGTGCCCGTTCTGTTCCCATAAATATTTCCATTACGAAATAGCTCATTTGCAATCAGATCATATTGCCCTTGACACGCGTACGCTAATAATGTGTTCGAGTAACCACTTCCGTAAACTCTATGCTTCCGAACATCTGGTTTCCATGGTAACCAGGCAAGGCTTAAGGGGAGAAAGGACATTCAGACAGTAAGGGGAGTGGGTTAAGCTTTCAATGAGAGATATCAGAAAAAACACAAGCGGTTGCACAGCTCAGCTAGGTGTGTTACAGGTGGGAAGGCTAGGCGTTGTTAACCCTTTCTGGCGTAAATAGGTGGTAGGCAGGGTTAGATTAACACAGTTTTGTACAGTGTGTCAGTGAGTTCAGCATCACATGCATATTGATTTAAAGGAACGCTCATATGAACTGAATGAACTGATTAACCCAGGTCGTATTTGTGATTGTTCAATTACATACGCGTATTGTATATCAATGAATAAATTACCACGTGTGATTCCGAAATTGATTATTAGTTATGAAATAATTCGGTACATAATAAAAATTGCAACTCATGACTATTAATATTATTCATGTTATAACAAATCTGTATCCGAGAAATAATTCATTCTATACATTGCTCAACTGTAAATGTCTACAAGGGCAGGCACCAGTAGACAACGCAATGTCACCAATGAGTGAGTGAGTATGGTTTTACGCCGCTTTTTGCAATGTTCCAGCAAGATCACGGCGGGGGAAACCAGAAATGGGCTTCACACATTGTACCCATGAGGTCTTCGGTGTGACGAGCGAATGCTTTACACACCACCCCAATGACCAGGGATCGAGGCAATTAATTTATTGCCATGTATGGTAATAATGAAATTGCTACACGACTGCTATTGTTTAAGAGTATTACATAAACATACATTTATATTGTACGTGTTTGTCATAATTGGAATTCGTAAATGATTCAGTTAATATGTGCACGATATGTATATTCTTTTAGGAATTCCCTGGAATATACATATCAAAATGTATTATAATAATAATCCAACTCAAGTCTAGAATGATTAGGCAAGTCAAGATTGCCTCTTCTCTAGCCTGAAATTAAGTCCTTTTCTTGGCTCCGTTGGGATTATATTTTCTTATTTTGTACATTTATATTTTAAATACGATAACTTCATTTTAGCCGAGGATTTATCCCACATAATCTGGTGAGGTAGAAAGATGTAGACTTGCTTCAAGTCAATACTGACAAAAGTCCATGGGTGTATAGTAATTCTATCCTTATAATAAGCAAGTCACGATAAGCAGACAGGACAAGATCGCCAGTCATTTATAGGGACATCTTGTTCTTATTATTTATATAATCCAGAAAATTATGATTTAAACTAATAATCAATGTCTCAGGGACTTGTACAAGCATAGGGTAGACGGTGATGTTCCAGTTGTGTTCGTGACGGTTCTTATTGCATTGTTGCTATGCTGTAACTTGAATACATTGTGTCACCATGTTACTGTAATTCATATCTGTCAATCATTATCAACTGAATTTGCTAATTCATGACGCCGTCTTATCTTGAATCATTCACACTGGTATTGACCCGTCGAGATTCCGGGTTAGAAGATAGGTATGATAGTCATCGCACCCGGCGCAACAGCATATATCAAAGTCCAGTTTTAACAAGACTGCGGGGTCCACTCGCCTGTATCAAAGACTAGTATAGTTTTCACCAGATGTTGATCCAGGCTAGTAGACATGACCCCGACAACTGTTTCGATTCGATTATCTAACCACCACATTCATTTAGATCGAATATTACTGATTGCGGTGTTCAACGACATACAAACAAACATTATTATCATACCTCCATGTTAGAATGTCGAGATCTGATTTGTCCACGTGATCTTGATAAAATTTCTCAATGGGCGAATAAATCCCTTATACACCGCCATGAGAAATTCAGGCTGCACGTGATTTTCTGAGTGACAAATAAATCCCTTATACCCCGCTTCAAAGCAAAAGGCTGCACGCTTTTTTCGAGTCGATGGAAGTCACGTGACATAGCAGTTAACCTCAGCTCAATCGAACAGGTGTTTTCTATCAATTTTGAAATTGTTTGAATTGTTTTACAATGTCATATTATAACATGTCGGTAAGATAAATTCGTTGTAGCAGGATCACTCGGGGTACATGGGGTTTTATGCGTCCCGCGTTAGGTTTTATACAACTCGTCCGGCTCGTGGAATAAAACCTGAAGCGGGACGCATAAAACCTCATGTACCCCTCGTGATCCTGCTACAACTTATAGTATTGCCGTCAGCTCGCACAGTTGTACACCACGACACCACCAGATAACCACGCGTCAGTATCATAGTTTAGTTGGCGTGGAACGAGATTATCCTGAGTACAATGTGAGTAAGATGGTAATGGTTTAAAGGGTGTACAGCGAAACAGTACTGAAACCTGGCTAACCCGGATGACGCATACTGTGAATATGGTTAAGCGGGCGTTATAAAACATATTAAAATGAATAAATGCAACAAAGAGGGTTTGGAGGATCCTGGCACAGTCAGGCTGGTTAGGCTCATCATCACTCAGGGCCCTTGCCCCCTCTACACGCAGCACAGACAGTGAATAGGACTTCTCCCAGGAAGCGCTGCCAATCGAACCCACCCGGAACTTTTCAGACTCCCCAAAACCGCAGCCTTCTGCATTACCCATATTCATATTCATCAGTCACATCTATTTGATGTATTTTGGCATAACGGTAAATTTAATCTTTGTTCTTGTCTCAAGTTGTCCACACAATGCCCATTATATATTCCTAACATATCACAATTACGATAAGAAAACACGGTCGACTCATAATCTCTATTTATCTGTAATTCGTTAATCCTAAAATCAAATATCAACCATCAGATCAGGGTACGGATAGCCCTATACATTAAAAATGAAAATGGCATTTGTATTAAAATATAAATCCCTGTTATTTAGGACCTCGTTAATCCATAACCCGCCACACCACGTGATTACTGCCAGGAAAATCAATAAATCACGAAAGAAACATTGCAACGTACCTATAATTCGTTAATCCAGAATTAAGTCCAGACTTCAACAGGAACAGTTCAATGCAGACGAATGTTTCAATGTTATCGTTTCACTAAACCCTCAGCAGTATGAACGGGATCGTTGTGTTTCCCACGTGGTATTCATGAAACAGGTTCCTAGGTTTAGTACTGCATGATGTTCACGTTTGTGTTCTCTGGACCATATGCAGCACAATGAGTAAACTGGATATGCGTTGAATACTGCTACGTCTAATATCAACGGTAGCTCATGACCACGGCAGAGGTAAAGGCAGTCATCGAGGGATACACACAAGCTAGAAGACTTAAAGTAACACGTGACTTATTTACGTTGCAATTGAGTGAATGCGTTGGGTTTAACACTGCTTTAAACAGTATTCCAGTTATATCACGGCGTGTCGGGCGTTTACCCTCAATGGTTCAATTCAATTGAGGGGGTTTCATTTCCGATGAGGTCAAGATAGTCCCAGTCTCTTGTCGTCTTGTTCCGGGTGGTCAGAATCTAGGATTGCGTGCGTCATCGCGCGCTGATGTCTTGTTGTTCATGCCTTCAATCACAGGTTTGCATACTATTGCTGTCTGCAGCGTTAAATAACACCGCGGGGTTTCAAAATTAGGGTTCAATTCAATTCAATTCAATTCAACCTCAATGGTGAAACCCACCACCCCGCGTTGCAACCGAATTCCCTGTCTCCACATCACAAGACTGTATGACAAGGATGAACTTTCCAAAAGTTAACATTCCCTCAATCCCGAACAATAATCTAGCAGTTCCTGTCTTTGGTACCTTTAAGCTACAACGGAGCATGCTCGTTCCACGAAGATTTCAATCATCATACGACTCTTGCATACAAGACCCGTGAAGATCCGGGGTAGAATTGACTTCAGCAACCAATGCTGAAGTCAAGGGCGACTATGCTTGTCGTAAAAGGCGACTAACGGGATCGGGTGGTCAGGCTCGCTGACTTGGTTGATACATGTCATCGATCCGAATTGCGTGGATCGATGTTCATGATGTAAATCACTGGATTGTCTGGTCCAGACTCGATTATTTACAGACCGCCGTCATATAGCTGGAATAATGCTGAGTGCGGCGTAAAACAACAAACCAAACAAAAAAAACTCTTGCATAGAGGTTTTTGATCGAGGTTACAACATTCGAGGCCTCAGTAAAGCGTTCAAAACGGTTTATGGTAGAAGCGTGGAGGACATTTTCAATTTTGACGCATCAGTACGAAAATGATGTCCGGTGCAATGACCTAATTTGGGTTGTACTATATGCCTCTGCATGTGTTTATGACAAGTGCCACTGGTGGGGCAGAATACGCACTCCTCTTCGCGATCACATGGTAACATTACCATATGATAATGATTCATAAGTAATGCTCATTTTAAGTCGGAATTGAACGATGGACCCTGTTGAAGATTTCTTATGAAAAAAAAATGTTTTTGTCGCTTTATATTTTAAACTATCAGTAAGGACCTATTTGTAGAAAACACCCGTGCGCCAAAAATAAAAAGATAATGTAAGCCTCGTTTGGGGATAAAGCAGCGCTTGGAATAAATGCTCGATGACTACCTTCAAAAAGGTGTCCATGTCAAGGTAGGGTCAACACACGAGGGAGGCGTTTCGAAAGTTGCAGATGTAAAAAAAAAGTCTTTTGTAAGAATTACAGTACTTTGTCACCTCCGATGAGGTCGAAATAGTTCCAGTCTCTTGTGGTTTCATATGTGCAATAAATATTTCCTGGGGTCAATAATGCATTGGAACTATCTTGAGTTCAGCACAAGTATATAGACGTGAAAGTGAAGGTGGGACGCATGTATGTAACAATATTCAGATCTACATAAGCATATCGTATGACTCAAGTAGTATTTTAACAATGATGAATACGCATATTCTATGCATTATTATAACCACATAACTGCAAATTCAAACCGCTGTTAGTCTGTCTTTTTTTATTCTCAGCCGTCTGGTAATTTCCAGACGTATAATAGCCCACTTAAATCACAAAGGGGTAGTGATATTTCAGTCATAACCACGTCTTACGATCAACAAGTGGTTCAGAGGGCTTTTCAAACCTCGGTTCCCCGGGTTTCTCTTTAAAGAGTTTAATCAAATATAATACGACAACGCCAGAACATAATCGCCGATTACCCGCCAAAACAGACTACATGGGTCGGAAAAGGCAAAATAGCTGTGAAAATTATATGAATGGATCACTGAAAATCAGTGATGACATCAGGGGTTTGCGAAAAGATGAGCTTGACCCTGGCGCAATTTGCAAAGGAAAAGTATATGTTTGTTGCCGGACTCCGCACAGCGGTACCCCTACCATGGGACGGCGGTCTGTAAACAAACCAGACAATCAAGTGATGGACCAGACCATCCAATGACATGATAATGCATTTACCAATACTAGATTTAAGTACCTTGTCGCTTTTGGTGAGTGAGTGAGTGAGTGAGTTGGGTTTAACGCCGCTTTTAACAGTATTCCAGTCATATCGCGGCGTGTCAGCTTAATGTGGGAGGATGCCCGAAGTGATGCAGGTCTCAGACATTTACCACTTCGGTGAAACCCACGAGCACGGGTATGGTGCTGACAAACCGAGAAACATAATTGGGGCGAACCGGGATTCGAACCCACAATCATAGGTTTCTGGCGTGCCCAAGGGACGCAACTCTGCACAGCGAATCGCGGCGCCTCAGACGACTATGCCACCCGTGCCCCCAAGTGAAACGATAACGCATTTACCAAATTTGTTGAAACTGAAAACGATATGTTTCTTTGAGATTCTGTTGCTTTTAAGTATCAGAAAAACGTTCAAGAAATATGTTTATTTTGCAACACAGGGGGGCTGTTTTAATGTCTCAAGTTGGTGAGAAGAGCGACTTGATTATTTTGAGTGGGAAAGTTACTTAACAATCTCATTTAGAAATATAAAGCTAGCAGCTGAAAGGAACATGGATGTGTATTCATTCAATCAGTGCAAGAACAGTTATATATAACACGGAGATGTTTTTTGGTATCGTCATGAGCCGGATATTTCAGCTGGATCACGTCGGCCTGTAAATAATCGAGTCGTTGCCAGACAAACCAGTGGTTGATATCATGAACAGCGTCCCAAGCCATCACAGCACGATGACGCGAAAAAAGATAAATCGCCGAACCTGACCATCTGATCCAATGCTGTCCCCTTTTGAAACAAGCAGTAGGATGCTGGGAATCTATTTGGTGTTGGTTAGATGTAGTACTAGAGACAGCCTCCGTGACAGTGGAAACAGTGCCTGCCTGAAGAGCGGAATGGTTCGGTTCCCGACCGCGTCTTACCAAAAGAGTGAGTGAGTGAGTTTGATTTCACGCCGCTTTTAGCAATATTCCAGCAATATCACGGCGAGGGACACCAAAAATGGGCTTCACACATTGTACCCATGTCGGGAATCGAACCCGGGACTCGGCGTGACGTGCGAACTTACCAAAAGACGTTGAAAGATGGCACTTGATGTTACCCTGACTGGCGCTCGGCATTAAGGGGCTAAAGTCTGGTGATTTTCTGATTTTCTTTACCGAATTCGGTAAACAAAATACCTGTCATTAGCGACTCAAAGGCGGGCAACTCTATGTTAACATCTATTTTGTGGTGTGATGCGTGTGGATTGTGAGGTTTACATCACGTCCTGTTTTAGATTATGCACAATCAGTATTCAAACGACCTATGTTTTGTCAAGGGGCATCGTCCAAACAAGTGGATTCTTTTCTATAACCAACTTCGAATGTACATAGGGGTAATTCAACTTTAAAAACATTCCAGAAACTATCATAAAAAAGTTAACGTGAGTATACTTGCAAGTGTCAGTCAGTGTCATTGAGTATGGTTTTACGCCGCTTTTAGCAATATTCCAGCAATATCACGGCGGGGGACACCAGAAAAGGGTTCACGCATTGTACCCATGTCGGGAATCGAACCCGGGTCTTCGGTGTGACGAGTGAACGCTTTAACCACTAGGCTACCCGACCGCCCCTGTACTTGCATGTAGCCGTGACATACCGCAACGAGTCCTGTATTCCATCATGCGATGAAATATCGTGCTTAGATTTGTAAGTCTAACAAAATAAAGTAAACAGTCGACACAGCGATAATATAGAGCCCGCGATAATATAGTCAAACTATACTTGAACGTAGTCATTCCATGTTTATTTAATGTGGACTATTATTTTACATTTTTTACATAGGAATAATGATATTATTTGATATATCGTTAGATAAGAAGAAAAATATGGGATATTCAAATACTGGTAATAAATATTCACATTTAAGAAGCTAATAATATTCATGGACAATACATTGACAATTACACAATATTGAATGTATATTTATATGCAAAAGTAAGTACAGTCATCAGTTACTTGATTACCCCATTGTAGCTTTAACTTTACACAATAACACCCTGTAAATCCGGAACGTCACATTCCCATTGTAACCGTCCGGATTAAGTCATGGGTATTGAATAATGTGGTGTATATATAAGTAGACGTGAGAAGACTTTCCGGCTTAACTATCCTCGCGTATCCAGGGTACAATGTGTCCATTCTATTTCGATAAATACTCTGGATCCATTCCCATGATAGCTTAATGTAAGTCTCGTTTGGGGATAAAGCAGTGCTTGGAATAAACACTTGATGACTACCTTTAAAAAGATGTCCCTACCAAGGAAGGGTCTACACATGAGGTAAGCTTTTCGAAAGTTGCAGATGTAAAAGAATGTTTGTAAGAATTACAGTACTTAATCACCATGGTTACCATCGATTAGATCAAGATAGTCCCAGTCTCTTGTAAGAGCCGACTGGCATTTGGTCCGGTGGTCAGAATTTTGACTGCTTCTTCCCGGAAGTGACGTCAGTATCCCCGTCTCTCAAATCACTCTCTTGGCACATGATTTCTATCGTTCACGAGATTTAGTTGATTTGAAGCTAAAGAAGCTTTGTTAGCAAATGGGTCAAGGGTGTTTATTATAGAATAGAGGTATACCCTCAAACACCGTTGTATCGAAGTTGAATGGACCTACGTTACTTCTTCATGTTATCCGAGGTTCGATACAACCGAAAATTATGAATAGAGAAGGAATACGCAGGGACCAACCTTTTCTTCGAGACAAATGTAAGTTCGACACGTCAA